GGTAGCTTTTATAAAAACAACAAAACGTAAGATATTTTATAATTCGAAAAATTTTAAAACCTTTCTTTTTTAAGCCCCTTTGTTTCGAAAGAGCCAGTGCTATTTCCACTCTAATTCTTTCTATATATTTTTTTTCAACAAAAACGTTAACTTAGATTTAACTTAAATAGGTCATAATGAGCTTCGTTATATTTCGTAATCTGTATAATATATTAATCAAAAATAAAATGCAATCAAATGTTTATTATGCATGTACGTACACTAATCTGTTTAGTGTGTGACAATATAACAATTCAGTTAGTAATGAAAAGATTACAGAAATTTGTTTTAGTCATTTCTTTTATGTATTTCAGACAGAAGTTTTTTATTATATAATTATACCAAAATTATGATTTTGGTATAATAACATCACAAGAGTTTTTATTTTCGTGCAAGGTGTAGGAAACCTTAAATAAATAAAATAAACATTCTGTGTTATATATTTGAATAAGGAGCTTGGACAGCTAGTACACATCACCTTAGATGATTGATAGGCGTCCCACACGCGAGATTCCCTTTTGTATTCAGTTCTTCTCGAACAAAAAAATCTGGCCTTCCCAAGATAATGGCGTGACTGGATAGCCTTATCTCTTCGAACGATTTTCCTACGCACATATCATAATATACCTAAACAATATCATTAGTTGTATATTATCTGTTGATCAAGATCTGTAATTCTTAGGCACGAGGAAGCATGCCCATTTCATTTATTCAGTAGTTGCTCACAGAATTTAACCTAACCTACATTAATAACAATAATTAATATACAACAATTAATTACAATAACAATAATTATAACAATAATCAATAACAATAAATTTTACTGGTGGTGGACCTCTTGTGAGTCCGCACGGGTAGGTACCACCACCCCGCTTATTTATGCCATGAAGCAGTAATGCGTTTCGGTCTGAAGGGTGGGGCAGCCGTTGTAACTATACTTGAGACCTTAGAACTTATATTTGAAGGTGGGTGGCGCATTTACGTTGTGGATGTCTATGAGCTTCAGTAGCCACTTAACACCAGGTGAGCTGTGAGCAATAAAAAGAAAATTAAAGATTTTTTTTTATATTCTATAAAAATGTCTCTATTCATTCATGAAATGCTATTTTAAATCAGGCTTAAAGCGCCTGCAACGTCTAAGTTAAAGTGAAGGCTGCGTGTAGAACGAGCAAAGCTATCAAACTTTATAACGCGCTTTGATACCTGTACACAAATTCCGCGGAACTTTGTACTAATAGTATGCTCCACAATTTTCTAGATGTAGCAATCTACTTCTATGTTGTAAACTATTATTTTGAATTTCCCTTTTTTTACCTATTTATTATTATTTATTTAGGGGGGAATAAAGTGCGAAACAGTGTGTGTTCGACCACGGGTTATGTGAAAGGCTGACGCAGAGCATGGAAGGGCCCCCAGTCCACCCTGCGTACGATCGCCAGGATTCACTCCAGTTTCCGACCCTGGCACGACGATCGCATGACAGGATTTTACACCGGTTGACGGGACAGCTTCCCGGGACAGAGTTTAGTAGTGACACACGGGTTCAGATCCCCTACTGACCCAGTCTCCCAATGTCTCCCAATGCCTCCGTCAAACAGTCACGTCCCGCTAACTTGCACGCACTTCTACTCCGCATGTTCCAAGTATCACCAAGATTCATTCCCTAGAAGGAAGAAGAAAGGGAAGGAATGGAGCTGGCTCTTTAATCCACACGCCGGAACCCAGCTAGTTGAACATGGTTTTACCACCGTTTTCGGCTCCCGTTTAGCACCACCCAGGGATTACTTGTAGGGTATCGCGGATTAAGCCCACGGAATCGAAAAGTACCAATCCCCAAAGCGGGAATCACCAACCCCTATGAGATAGGATGAACAATTACGTAGTGAAATAATGTGGGTAAATTTCTATAGCACATTATTTTCCGGTCGTCCCAATTGAACGAGATACTTAAGTTCAACGCAAACAAGACAATGTTTCTTAAAGTACGCTCATCTCACAAGTCGTAAGCTGTAAAATTGTAGTATACTGGCTTTAACAAAAGTAGCTTTTACTTCAATTGAATAAGTAAGTGTCCTTTAATTTTAATAGTCCCCCGATTTCCCTGATTAATAGCAAAAATAAAGTGAGCTGTTGGTAGTACGAACGAAAAGAAATTTAAATATATCCTAAAACCAGCAATGAACATGTGAGCTACTTACTGATTCCAACGTTAATTGATACGCAGAACACAAGATATTTGACAGATGCCTGAATCTTGCTTACGACATTTTCAAGATAAGCTTGCATTTAAACAAGTTCCGAACAACAACATTTGGACTGTCGGTCTACCGAGCAATATCACCCACTCTGTGGAAGATCTTCCTTTGTCGTATACTTCCACAGACTGTTTATTAGAAACATCGATATATGATTAGAAACGACAACATAATTGAAAAAAATATATATTCTGTAAAATTCAAGATTAAAATCATTGATGTAAATGCAAAGGGTGTTGCAATTTAACAATTGCTTGCTTACTGTGGATTTGCCAAATTTAATCACTTTTCCCACTTTAAAAATTAAACATAAGTATCTGCATAAACTTAGGGTCGCGTCGCGTGTTTTTTAGTAGAGACGACCTCGAAGTATTCCCAGTGGAAATTACGGATATTAATCTAATGGCGATCTTCTGAGGGAATTTTGGAAAAGAATCAAAAACAAAACTGCGATCCATACTATTCGTGGATTCCGTTCATTATTTATTTGTTAGAAAATATTTGCATAACGTTAAATTTATAGTAAAACGTACTCCTGTATATTTATTGTAAATATGAAGGAATGGTGTTATATGCACTTGTGACCCAGTTAGGCCTATCATTATTAATTTCAAAATATTATGCACGGCAAGGTTGTCTTCTATGCTTTGTTTTATATAGCAAATACAATTTAAAACGATTTTTTTTGTAGAAACGACATCAAAGATTGTGGTAAATTAACGTCACAATAATATAGTCAGCAAATCGAAATCTGTTTTTCCAATATTAACTTACTTCACTGTTTGGATAATTTGGTTATATATCTGGTATTACTGGTGAACCCTAAATACCAGACAAGGTCGAAAGACCATCATCAACAATAAAAAATCACGGGAGCTTTGGAAGAACTACTTTATTTCCTAATATTTCTTAAAAGTGAGAACCCAATTTGATGCGTATCAATTAAAAAATGTAGGCATTATTATTGTAATACAAAAATAATTAAATTAATAAGTACTTCAAATTATGTAAGTTAAAACAGGTTTAAACAAATTTAAATGATGACTATTCGTAATTAAACATAAACTTCTTTACTTTATTGTTGAGTTAGACTTGTATTATACTCCGTGTCATCATACGTTTCAATACTTGATAAAATACGTGCATTAATAGGTACAGCACGTAGATATATAAGTGAGCACAGAGCCACTGTTATGTAGTAGTTATCTGTTTTTAGAGTTTGACGATTGTGTGATATATTTTTTAAATTTAAAAACATTAGTTGTAAACGTAAGTCTTTAACAGATTATAAAATTTGTAAAAATATTCTTTTGTTGAATCAAGAAAAAAATAATATTAAATAAATAACCATTAAAAACAATTGACAAAACTTTAATTATTAATAATTCATTGTGGATCGATTGGTTATTTAAATAGCCTGTTTTATTCTATAATTTGTATGTACATCATATTCAATGTACATCAAGCAAAAATATTATTTTATCTAAATACATAACTTTTCACGCTATGAATAAAATAACATTAATCCATCGCAAACACATGTCAATTAATATTGATTGTTGAGCAAGGGCATATATAAATAGACAATGGTGACTGGTTTTTTGTTTCGGGTTCGTACGCGTATATCCAGGATTCGTCACCTGATACAATATTGTATACAGCATTTGAGGATCCTGCGTGGAATCTTTCGAGAGTTCTGACGCACCAAGTAACGCGAGCCGCTTTTTGCTCTTCACAGAGCGAATGCGGTATCCATCGGGAAAACAACTTTTTTACACCTAATTGTTCATGCAAGATTATTTGTATTTGACTCATGCCAATGTCTAAAGTTGCCTGAATTTCGCGGTATGTCACATGTCGATCTTCCTCAATCAGCTTACGCACAGCATCAACGTTTTCTTGGGTGACTGCAGTTTTTGGACGACCTTGACGGGGATCATCACTGAGCTTGACACGTCCACGTTGAAACTCAGCAAACCAGCGATAAATTGTGGTTTTGGATGGGGCTTCATCACCAAATGCAGAAATCATCCGGTCAACACACTGTTTTTGTGTTAAGCCACTTCGAAAGTCATAATAAATCATCGCTCTTGAATTTTCTCGAGTCAATTCCATTTTCTCAACAACTAAACAAGTTTGACAAAACCTCGTGACAAGACCGAGAATCATTTTTTTTAAATAAATAAATGGTATTAGATTTTTAACACCAAGGAGTTTTCAATTAAAAAGATTTTAATATGACAGGAACAGTGGAAATATTCCATTCCCGATACTTTTAGTGCAGCCTAGTATTATTATATGGATGGACGAGCTCACGGCCCACCTTGTGTTAGTGGTTACCAGAGCCCATTGACACTTATGATGTAAATGCCACTACCCAGCTCGAGACATGAGTTCGTAGGTCTCCGTTTTTACAGTACAACGGCTGCCCCGCCCTTCAAACCGAAACGTATTACTGCTTCACGACAAAAATAGGCAGGGTGGCGGTACCTACCCGTGCGGACTCACAAGAGGTTCTACCACGAGTAATTACGCATATTATAATTTTGCGGGTTTGATTTTTATTACACGATATGTTATTCCTTCACCGTTTTATTATTTCACAAAAATTCAAAGTAAGCGCAAACGTACTAACTCAAGGTAACTAACTAACATTTGGTACCCTTAATTTTCAAAAGAAAACTTACTAGTTAACTTAATTTTCAGATGAGTCTAATGTTGTACAAACTAAACGCGAGCCCTCCGGCGCGCACTGCCATGATGGTGTGTGAACTCTTCAAGGTTCCTGTTAAAATGGTTGACGTAAATTTATCAAAAGGAGAACATTTTTCCCCGGAATATTTAAAGGTAAATCAACATAGAAAATATCGATTTTTATTGGGAGTTTTACACCACTATACTTAGTCTGGCCATAAATACTGTTACAAAGGAAAACAAAAAAAATCTATTGCAAATAACATTTATTACTTTTACAGTGTATTAGTTTAATACATAAATATAAAACAATTTAAAGTATAAAAAGCTTATTCGAAGTGGTCTCCATTGGCTGCAATACAGTCCTTTAAACGTTGAGGCCAGTTATCAATAGAAGCACGCACTCTTTCCATGGGAAAATTTTTCACTGCCAATCGTACGGATTGTTTTAGGGACTCCAAATTATCATGGCGTTTAGAGCAAGCCGTACNAGTCCTTTAAACGTTGAGGCCAGTTATCAATAGAAGCACGCACTCTTTCCATGGGAAAATTTTTCACTGCCAATCGTACGGATTGTTTTAGGGACTCCAAATTATCATGGCGTTTAGAGCAAGCCGTACTCTCTAAAACTGACCATAAATCATAATCCAGCGGATTAAGATCGGGACTAGACGACGGCCAGTCTTCGGCTCTAATGAAGTCCGAAACGTTCGTTTCTAACCAAGACTGCGTAGACCGAGCTTTATGACCTGGCGCCGAGTCTTGCTGGAAGGACCATTCTTGATTATTGAACATGATGTTGTTAAGGGGCTTCACTACCTTCTCAAGAATGGTATCTTGATACACTTGTGCCGATGTTTTGATACCTTTTTCACAAAAGTATGGCTCAGTCACTCCTTCATATGATTTGTTTTCAAGCACATTTTAAACCCATTAAGCCGTAATGCATTCATTCCTCCAAAAAACAATACCATCCTACTTATTCCTGTAGCGATTTAAGAGAGGCTGTCAAGTGTGTTGGCTTGAGTGGTAGGACAGATTTAGATATTTTGTCTTAAGATGAGACATAATCCACAGAGTTAAATCTATAGATTTCAGTATACACTTAACATGAGGTGGTATCTGAGCTCATCTTCCCGTCTAGAGCAAACAAAAAATCCCAATTAATTGTAAAATTTACTGTAACTATACTTGTTCCTAACAATTGGTAGGTACTTTAATCGTAATGCCCATGAACTTAGAATTACAAATGGACTTTGAATTCTTAACCTTGTTCTTAACACACAAAAACATACATACTTGTGGGCTTGACATAATAGGCACTTTTGATAATATTTGTAGATTCCAAGTTTTTTGTGATGTCAATGAATGTCAATAGTACATCACAGCCCGTTTGTTTGAAATGTTTTTTTATTATATTAGAACTCTGAAATTAAATAAGACGGTTGATTTTTAGTGTTTACCTATTCAATATTCGTATAACTACTAGGCTCTTGAGTAATATATAATCCTTCGGTCGGAAATGATCGTAAATTGTTACAATGGTAATAATACCAGTGGTATAACCAACCGATTTTGAACGAAGCAAGCCAAAGCGATTTCGTTGTGTAAGCACACTAGTATTACGAGTATTATGATGTATCGTCTATGTTTTCTTGTAACGTTTTTCTTTTGACAGCTTTTGATATGTAGCTCCAGTAATTCATTGTTCGCATAAGTAGCAGAATTTCACGTATGATCTAATCAGTATAAACCTGCACAAACTTACACAAAGTTCTCTATACCCTGAGGATATCATCCCGAAATATTATACATATAATTTAAATACAAAGTCAGTAATAGTATTTGGTTGAACTGTATATAAATTAAATACATTTTATCACGAATCATATCTGTTATGAATTCAAATAGAGGTGATCTGAGATTTTATCAATTGTTTGTTGACTGTATGTCACGATATCATATAAAAACGCAGCAAAGCTATGAGGCGTTAACGAAATATAAAATTATAAATAAAAGAGAGTTTACAGTAAGTACATTGCTATAATAATATTAATGTTGTTCATTATTTGATTTCAGAGAAACCCTCTTCACACTGTACCTACACTAGAAGATGGCGACTTGATTATTACTGATAGGTAATGATGGAATATTACTAGTTGGTTTGTTTACCAGATTTTTAAAAACTGATAATATTTACCTCATTCAAATTTTTAAGAATATAATTTGGTAATAGTAAAGATTTCACATGTCACGTCAGGTTTACCTGATAATGAAATAAAGCTATTTCATAGCTTTACAAATACATAGCATTACAAAATTCTTCAAACTTGATTGAGCTAAGGTATTCACTTTATAACTTCCATTAAAATCTGAAAGCATCGGAATTAGCCCAGTAGCATGCGGGCTTTAAAGTGCTATTCTCACTTGGTTTTGGCGTAGAAATAGTGTAATTTTTATCATCGTCGTCTTAGGCCTTACAGCTCAGGGTGGGCCTTAGCCTGATCCAGTATGTCTCTCCAGGCTGCTCTGTTCAGGGTTTTCTCCTTCCAGTGCCTGACACCGATTACTTTGAGGTCACGCTCTACGCCATTTAACCATCAGAGTTTGGGCCTGCCACGATTTCTGCATCCCTCTAGTTTGCCATATAGTAGTTGTCTTCGCATTCTGGTCTCCTCCATTCGAGCCCATCTCTTGCCCATCGTAGGCGTCCAAATTTTATAGTTTTTATGATAATATTAGGATCCTTCTGAATATCATACAACTCGTGGTTATAGCGCGTTCTCCACATATCGTTTTCCTGCTGCGCACCAAATATCCGTCTTAGGATCTAGGCTCGAACATAAGTAGATGATTCTCATCCTTTTTGCTGCGTATGTAATTTTAATGATAATGGTCAAATCAAATTTCCTTTTCTTTTGTTACAGTCACGCGATTGCAATGTATCTCGCCGACAAATATGGAAAAGACGATAGTCTGTACCCCAAAGACTTAAAAAGCAGAGCAATAGTGAACCAAAGGTTATTCTTTGATAGCACGGTGTTGTTCTCTAGAATGAGAAGTGTTACTGTAAGTACTCTCATTAAGCCTTGCATACCGCTAGTGACATAATATATGTATTAATAAATATACAGTTAGTAGTCTTCATTAGGGGATAGGTAAAAGAGACTAACTGAATATAGACAACGTACTAGTATCAAAAGAAAAATACGTACTAAAGCAAAAAGTGAATTACTGTACAATAGTTGCCACAAGAGAAAATTTTTCAGTTCCTATATAAAGTAATTCAAGGATTTTTTAAAGCATGACCGAATTCTATTGTTTACCTTTCAGATGTCCTCAGGTCGATAAATAATTTTATCTAATGTTTGAATTATCAGCAGTTGATAGTGACAAGTACTTATGGGAAGTGGAATTGTACAAACTGATTACTAAACGACTGGCTTACATGGCCATGACTAGGTAGATAGGTAGTTTGGGTTGACCCTGGTGACTATCGTGGCGATTCAACTGATACCAGCTTAATCGTGATGTTTACTTACATTTGTTTAGTAAAACGGTTGTTCGAAAATGGCTCGAAACGAAGGATTGTTTCACTACAGATAAAGTTAGTGCAAAACACCTTGAGAATAGAACTCGAGATAGGAAGGTTAGAAATTAGGGAATGAGATAGTGGGTCAGGATATTCCTACCATCTATCTCTAAAATAGGTAACTAGGATAACGTCCTCGTTTCTCCTAATTAACAACAGAATAGATAATTATTATTGAAATCCTCTGAATTAATTTTGCTGCATCTTAAGTAAAGTTTAAGAATTTTGTACCCTCAGCTATAATAATGACACCAAAAAAGACAAAATGTTCGACATCTGTCCCTCACAGACCGGTTTCCCTCGAGTACAGTGTAGGTAATTTTCCAAACCACATATGATTATAATGCTGTAATCGATTTCACTTCTTGATTTATATTTAGTTTCCCTGGCAACGATTGCACAACGTATTCAGTTTTACAGGTAACTAGGATAACCTCCTCGTTTCTCCTGATTAACAACAGAATAGATAATTATCATTGAAATTCTCTGAATTAATTTTGCAGCATCTCAAAGTTTAAAAATTTTGTAACCTCAGTTATAATAATGACACAAAAAAAGGCAAAATGTTCGGCATATGTCCCTTACAAACCGGTTTCTATCGAGTACAGTGTAGGTAATTTTCCAAACCACATATGATTATAATGCTGTAACCGACTTCGCTTCTTGTTTTATATTTAGTTCCCTGGCAATGACTGCACAACGTATTCAGTTCTACAGAATAAAATTCTTAATATAATTTTGCACAGTTTACATGCTAATAGTATTATTCTGTGATTCTTCCTGTCTTCTTTTTTTCGTTATTTTTATTTTTTTTATTTGTAGATATCTACGTTGTGTATATTTTTCTTTCTTGTTGATAAGAAATATACACTTTATTTTAAAAGATCGGCTTTTGTAGATACTGCTTGTTTTAATTAACACCTCAAACTTTTTTGGTACCATAATGATAATGATAATGATAAACGTGTATTATTCCAGGTTCCAGTCATAATTGAAGGATGTAAAACTGTCACGGAGAAGCAAATTAATGACATTATCGAAGCATATGGTTATGTTGAAACTTATCTATCAAACACCAAATTTATAGCCACCAATAACTTGACGATTGCTGACATTTCTGCCTACGCCGTAGTTTCATCTCTCCTTTTTATTGTGCCTTTAGATGGAGCCAAGTGAGTACTGTAAACTATTAATTATATGCTAAAGGTGCTCCTCAGTTTTATTCGCGTTGAAAGCATTATTCTAAAATTAAACAGGTACTAAATTCTGCGTATTAAAAATAGCTATGTCATTTTACGGCAAACTAATTCTAGTTACGTTTTTTTTTGACAACAAAAAATTTGGTTGTTTGTTTCCCAATTATAGTTCTGAAGGTCAAATAGACACATTAGTCTCTTAAATTTGTCATAATTGAGCTCAGGCTCATCTGGTGATAAATGTCTAAGTCTCAATTGTATAGTGTTATTCAAGGGTTTCAACCTTAAAACCGGAACGCATTACTTTTACTTCGTAGTAGTATAGCGGTAGGCAGCGGCTTGGCTCTGCCGCTAGCATTGCTGAAGTCCATGGGCGACGGTAACCACTCACCATCAGGTGGGCCGTATGCTCGTCTGCCTACTCCTCCTCCTTGCGTCGTATTCCTCATTGCTGAGGGTCGTGACCACCCTTTTGTATCACCTTCGCACACACGATCTTTCTCCATCCATTCTTGTCTCTGCCTACAAGGGCAATAAAAAAAGTAATAAACATAGGCAGATCAGTGCTTCCTACCCACGCGGACACGCATAACGTCCTGACGTTAGTGAATTAAAATTTACGCAAATTAAAATTTTTGCGGGTTTGATTGTTATTACACGATGTTGATGTAATTCGTGAACGATAAACAATTTTCACTGTAATTAAGTTAAATTTAAATTAAATAGCAATATTTCGTTATTAAATAAATTTATCCTCTACGAAAAATCATTACTTTCACAAATCTATCATTTATTTCGCTTATCCGCGTAACAAGCGTATAATTTAATAGATTTATTATTTTTCTTTTACCTGCTTCCCTCAAAATATTGAGTCCATTAACGTGATTGTGTGTTATCTTATAGATTCCCCAAAACACAAACGTGGTTGAATGAAATGGAAAAGAAACCTTTTGCACAGAAATATAATGTGAACGGCGCGGCCGAATTGGGCGCACTATTGAAAGAGAAACTTGGATCTTAATCTATAAAATGTATTAAGTTTATTAATGTAAGTGAAATGTTATTTATTAAAAGGATCAATAAAATTACTTGCCAACATTTTTGTTTTTATTGTATTTTATTTCATATATTTAGTACTAGAGTAGAGTAGGTAATATATAATGAAAAAAATGTGATTCGGGCGGTTTTTTTCTTCCTACCTCAACTAGCGTACGTAGAACGTAGCCCTAGAGGCCTATATTCAGCGTCACCGAATGAGTAGGTGAGGTCACGGGGCTATAACCTGAGGAGATTCGTGTGAAGGTCTTGTAAGACAGACGTTTTTGTTGGGTGTCACGTGATGATTGTTTCTTATGAAACTGGGTTACAACTTGTACAAACTTGTATCGGTTTGTAATGTCGTAATACCTATTATCTTGCATGACAAAGAATTTTTATTTTGGATACGAACGATAACAAAGTAAAGCGCCACTGATCGACCGACTTTTGCAAGAAGCCGACTCCATGACAAATCCCACAATAATTCGGGGGATGAGACTCTAGGCGCCCAGTATGAGATTAAGGTACTTTCTGCTAAAACACCCATGATCTTTTCTCAGTTGCTCATCTATTTAATGATTAACCATCAATCAACGAATGAATCAAGAGTAAAGGATACCTGATTATTTGCTGATATTGCCATGTAGTCAACGTCACAGTACACATCCGCAGTAATTCTGGTGCCATTTAGTAAGAAGCTGTGATGAATCATACCGGCAATAGACCACCAAACAGTGACCATGGCTTTTTAAGGGTAAGTTTTGGTTTAGGGTATTGCCTAGGTGCTGAACCAGTAACTTACATTATGACCGCTTATGATTATCAAAAATAATCCAATTTTTTTATCGCTGTTACTTGCGATGCGGTTTCTTCTCAAATCCCTTCGTTTCTGTAACTGTTAAGCAACGCAAGGCATATCTTCGCGATGGCGTTCGTTCAGTTCGTGCCACACCCACTTGTCAAGTTTTTTAGCTTGCCAATTTGACGGGAATGGACCAATTTAATTTTAATGCTAACCTTACAAGCTGCTACTACCTCAGCGGCAGATTGAGGATTGTCAGCGTCCACCGTCGCCTTTAATTCGCCGTCGTTGACTTTAGTTTTCGGGCGACCACGGTGTTCATTTTTTAGATCAAACTTTTCCATGTCGTAAGCATTCAAACCAATAAACAGTCGTGCGTTTCTTTATTTATTTTTTATTGCTTAGATGGGTGGATGATCTCACAGGCCAACTGATGTTAAGTGGTTACTGGAGCCCATAAACATCTACAACGTAAATGCGCCACCCACCTTGAGATATAAGTTCTAAGGTCTCAGTATAGTTACAACGGTTGCTCCGGCCTTTAAACTGAGACGCATTACTGCTTCACGGCAGAAAATAGAAATAGGCGGACAGGTGGTACCTACCCGTGCGGACTCACAAGAAGTCCTACCACCAGTAAAAAGTGCGTGCGTTCGTTTGTAGTGGCACTCCGTACAAGTAATTAATGAGTGACGGAACTCTTATTACATAATTACTTGTATTTTTATCGTGTTCATGTTGATGAAAAATATACAAATCTAATAAAAACAAAACACTGATCAATCAAAAATGGGTGAATTTGAAAATAGAATTTCATATTTTATACTTAAATTTATTATTGCCAGTCATAAATAAATTATGTTTCAAACGTTATTAACTTCATAAGTAGAGGCCTGGTTATATGTTTAAAAAGCACTTTTACAGATTCGCCTCATTTGAGCTTTTTTTGAGTTTATTTTTCGGTTATGGCTATAGTTCCATTGCTCTTTTCCGAGATGGAAGATTGGCTTTATTTCACAACACTCATCTCACACTCCAGTTATCTTTCATTTTACAACCTAAATGATATTTTTTATACAGCTTGTCCTATAACCTTATAATTACTGTTATTTTTCACTTCTACCAGCTTCTGTGCATTCTTACAGAGTGTTCGTGAATTCGATCTGTTTTTACATTTAGTAATGAACATTCATATTTACCAGAACTATTGGTCTTATTAACTACTACTACCATTCACTCAGTATTACCACAAATTGACCTATTTACCGTCCAGTATATTGATCGTGTACGTGTAGATACATTTGAATCACACAGAGCAAGTTAACCAGTTTTGGCACGCGTCCCACTTCGATCTAATCGTATTGGTTACTCCATTGAAAACATTAGTACTGAACATTGTACTATCAAACTGAAACTAATATATTAATCGAAAGGTAGCGTGCTCAGTTTTAAAGAAATACATTAAATTTGGGATGGGCTCAATTTTGTAATGGAAGACCAAGAACCTACCTACCTGGTGGTAGGACCTCTTGTGAGTCCGCGCGGATAGGTACCACCGCCCTGCCTATTTCTGCCGTGAAGCAATAATGCGTTTCGGTTTGAAGGGTGGGGCAGCCGTTGTAACTATACTGAGACCTTAGAACTTATATCTCAAGGTATCAATTCTGTCGCCCATCATAAGATATTAGGTGAATGTATTAATAGTACACAGGCTAGGTTCAATGGCTGCGAATACTACATTAAAAAACACACACACACACACACACACCATTTTATCACCAAAGAAGTTCGTAATACTAGTGATGTACTTTTTTTTCAAAACTTTTTTTTCTGCACAAATCAACTCAGCTCAAAAATACTCACCCAAAATTCATTAAAAGCCATCGAAAACTCACTGAACACCGGCACGGACATACGGAACGAAATGTGAATAAATCGTGAGCTGCGTTCTGACCATGATATATGCCGGTACAAATCGGATTTATATCCTGCTTTCCCTTCCCCATTGGAACACAACAGAAACTGTTATTGCACGTATGAACGATGAGATGTCATGAATAAAATATTTTACACGTAATGCGTCACGCACCCGGCTTCAATAGCGATTTCAATGCTGTATTGACCGTATACCGGATAATACAGTAATTTTTAGTTTAATCTGAATTCATGTGTATCTTGTAATGGTAGTAAGATGTGTTATGATTGGATAAATAATGATACCGCTATACTGGCTATTTCTATATTTTAGAGTTCGGAAGGAAAATTGGTCACAATCGAAGCTTGACGACCGAACTACGGCTTAAACTATATTTAATAAGTTGCATCAAAGAAATACCACTATGGTAACATATATTATTTGGCAAAAATGAGTTCAATCTGTTCAGCTAATTAGTTTGGCAGTGAGCTCATCTTAGTAAATACATAAATAAAAACTAAGCGGCGATGAATGCCAATTGGTAACGCAATGCAAATTGTAATTGCAAATTTGTAATGCAAATTGAGCGGTTGCGAATGAAGTTCAAAGTTCAGAGTTCAATGTTATACCGGTGGTAGGACCTCATGTGAGTTTGCACGGGTAGGTACCACCACCCCGCCTATTTTTGCCGTGAAGTAGTAATGCGTTTCGGCTTGAAGGGTGGGGCAGCCGTTATAACTATACTGAGACCTTAAAACTTATATCTCAAGGTGGGTGGCGCATTTACGTTGTAAATGTCTATGGGCTCTAGTAACCACTTAACACCAGGTAGGCTGTGAGCTCGTCCACACATCTAAGCAATAAAAAAAAAAGATTGTCGTACAAATAAATTGCTAAATTGTGAGAGTCACTGATTGAAACCACTTTTCTTTTAGGAAGGTAGGGTTATCGGTGGCCCAGAAGCCTTTCCAGTTTCAGGCTTAGCCAGCAGGGCGAAACCACTCACATACCATCAAAACTGATATATTGTTATCAAACAAAAAATAAAAGTCTTACGTTACGGACGTTTTTTTCCCGGTTAGGGTACCCCTCCGCATCGTCCCATAAGGAACTTCGTTCCAAAAACTTCCCTAAATTATCATGAACAATTATTATTGTAAAAATTTTCAGTCCAATAAAATCAATGACACACTAACGAACGAACCTGTCGAGTCTGATAAATTTGATTCTGTAAATAGTGTTAAAAAACTGTCATCACCATTATTTGATGATTCTCGACTAATAAATACCTATATTTCTAAAATATTCTCAATTGTAGTAGTCCCAAAATAATTTTACTTACATACATATGTATTATACATACATTTCATTACTAAACGTACTAGTAACTAATGCACATTGTAGAACAAGGTAAAGCATTATTAGTTTAACAATAGATAAGTTGTCGCTCAACTAACGCTCCTTGCCAGTCTAATTATGTATAGCTAGATATCATGTTATAGCTGTATATATTATTAGTTCATAGTAGAAACTCATTGATTGAGGCCTCGGAAGTCAGTCATGCTCACTGTAACTTAGTGTTTAGTTGAAGCCTACAGACTCAACAACGCAAAAATGTAATGTCACAGTTTTAATCGTATCATATGTAATAACGCGTGTTTTATTCTTCAAACCGGAATCCACATCTGATTCGCGGTAGAAGTATGCAGTATAGCGGTATTACCCTACTCACATGGGTCACCACTTAAATACGTATGGTTTAAATAAAACAATTTTTTTTATTGATTAGATGGGTAGACGAGCTTATAGCCCACCTGGTGTTAAGTGGTTACCGGAGCCCATAGACATCTACAAGGTAAATGCGCCACCCACCTTGAGATATAAGTTCTAAGATCTCAGTATAGTTACAACGGCTGCCCTACCGTTCAAACCGAAATGCATTACTGCTTCACGTTAGGAATAGGCAGGTTGGTGGTACCTACCCGTGCGGACTCACAAGAGTTCCTACCACCAAGAAAATCGAAGAAATTATTTTAATCTAAACAATTTTGTTTACATAAAAAAAAAAAACATTGTAACAAGCTAGTTTATAAATTTCAGTTTATCTATTGTAACTGAAATTGTGCTTGAAGATTCAACATTTTCATAACAAAGACTAAAAAAGCAACCTTTTTCCAGAGCAAAGGAAAGGTAAATAGCCGTACGAAATGGACTGAGACATGACTGAACAGAAGTCTTCAGCAATCATCCTGAAGGGTCGTACATT